TTTTCTTCACAGTGGCTGATGTGGGGCTGTATTTTGGATCTGTGCTGAACACAGGGTTGATAATAGAGATATTTTTGTTTTGCTGAGCAGGGCTTATACAGAGCCAAAGCCTTTCCTGTCCCTTGTGTAGCCACACTGGGGAGGGGGTTGGGAGTGCGTGGAAGGTTGGGAGGAGACAAAACTGGGACTGCAACTGACCCAAGGGATATTCCAGACTATATGACATCGTGCTCAGTACGTAAAGCTGGGGGGAAGAAGGAGGAAGGAGGGGGAAATGTTTGGAGTGATGACATTTGTCTTCCACAGTCACCGTTACACGTGATGGGGCCCTGCTCTCCTGGAGGTGGCTGAACACCTGTTGCCCATAAGAAGCACTAAATTAATTATTTGTTTTGCTTTGCTTGGGTGCATGGCTTTTGTTTCACCTATGAAAGTGTCCTTATGTCAACCCACAAGTTTTCTAGTTTTACTTTCCTGATTCTCTCCCCGATCCTGCTGGCTGATGGATGAGTGAGTGGCTGTGTGGGGTTTGGGGGCTGGCTGAGGTTAAACCATGACATCAGAAAAAGAAGCTCCTTGATACACTGTGAGAGGATCCAGGTTCTTCCCAACTCTGTTACAAATTCCCTGTTTGACTTTGGAAAAGCTGCTTCTTGTGATTTATATTTATCATCTATAAAACAAGGGTAAGTAATGGTCTGTCTCAGTGAGGAACACTTGTGGCCTACAAGATTACACTGAATATTAAGTTGCAGTAATGACAAATGCAATGTAATAGCAAAACAGTATCTGCATGTTCTCTATCCTTCAATTATTCCTGAAGTTGTCTGCTCCCCTTGTCTCTAACACTTACATACCATAAGCATTTTTTCTAAGTGTTGCATTAATGGCATGTGTAGAGTAACTAGAGTACATACCTGGGCTAAAAAATTTTGCTGGGGATCCTGATGAAGAGGAGAGATTGTGCCTCCAGGACCAAACCAAGCATTAATGGTGATGTCATCTTCTTCCCCTTCCCCCAGGCAGCAGTAGTCAGGGATACTGATATCTTCTTTCAGTTCTGGGATCTATTTCCATAAAGAAAGAAACATTAAAAAGGATACATGCTGACTTGCCAAATATACGTAATTCATAGAACAGATAGACAAGGCTTGACACAAAGCAAACAAATGACCTGCTTGTCCAGCAAGGGCAGGAGAGAAGTAGCTGACCTGCTAGGAATCTGCAGGAAATGTCCTCATACTTTCTGTTCTAGTGAGCAGATTCTGTTGGCAGGAGAGGTGGGAGAAAGAAAGGGATTTCTCATTCTTCGGAGACTCTTTGCTTTAGCAGAAACCAGAGACACCCACAAGAGTAGGCAGGTTTGTGGTTCATGGAAAAGAAGCAGCTGATCTCTTATACACTATGCTTGTTTCTCCGTGAGATTCCTATTTATGTCTCCCACCGACCTAAATTCTGGTAAACTGGAATGACATTTCAGATTATGGTGATCAACACTGAACACTGTTTTCTGTCCAAATCTCTTCCCTGACTTTATTATAGTCTTTGAGGAACTGCTGCTTTCTGGGTGATGATCCCTGTAAGTATATGCTACAGTGTACCAAAACAGCTCTAGGACTGCATATCTTCATCCCTAGAGAGTTCTATTTCCATATTTTTCAGCCAAATGGGACAAACCTCTCCCTCTGTTCTTTCAAATCATGGGAATAGAAACTTAATAATTACTGTGAGTTCTTCATATACCCTTTGATCTAGTACAGTTGACATCCTCAGAGACAACTTCTGCTACAAAGGGAACACTTGACCGTAGGAAGATAAAAACATTCACTCAGTTTTACCTGATCAAAAAGCTGGTGCTGGGCAAGGTATCCTACACTGTTCTGAAATGACAGCAGAGAAATAAAAAACACATAGTGACATATAGTGTACGACTTCTCAGTCAGTTAATTTACTTACAGGTGAATAGAATTTACTCATAGGTAACATTCACTTCCAATATCCTATTCAGAGTACCAGAACTGTTTCAACAGTATAAGGGGTCTTCTGAAATAGCAACTTACAGCTCCACTGAAATTGTGAGAGTGTAGATGTGTCTCCCTAATCAAGAAATCATCTAGCTCGAGTTACTGGAGGAAGCTGAGCTATACCCCCATGGGGTCTCAACACTCCTGTCAGTCCCGTGACAATGTGCTGCATCTTTATAGCCAAACACTACGGGCACACAGAGCAGTTCTCCTTCACTCTTTGGAACTGCCTCTGTACTCTGTTCTGGGCTGCACCACAGACCAGTTTGCCAGGGCACACAGTACTACCTGCCAGAAGGTCAGGAAACAGAAACAGGAGTTTTGGATTCTCAGCTGCGAAAGCAAAAGGACATTTCAATTGCTAATTGACTTTTTATTTTTCTGCCTTGTGGCATGTGAATTTGGATCTTGATCCTGCTGGCTGAGGATCTCTTATACTTAGACTCCACCAGTCAGGCTTTTGCTGTAGAATGTATTTATTTGTCAAATTTCAGCTGCTGTACGTGTGATGATATGTAAAAATCAATCCTAGGTATTGCTTCAATAACTATTTCTAGCTTCAGATCTTGAAAATAGGTCAAGCCTTTTAATTCAGAGCTGTGCTTAGAGCACACCCTCTCCCTTGACCATCACCTCTGAGTATGTTTGTTGGAAGCAGAACTGTTGTCTGTACCAGTACCATGCTGCTGTGTTTGGAGATGAAATAAAATGAGTGTAACACACCTCATCCATGATATACTGGCTGATGAAGTCATTGACAGTCATGAGCTGCTGAGACCATTCCTCATCTGTGTAGCGGGCGCCCAACTCCACGGGGACTGTGCGGCACCCTGCGACTTGACGAAAATAGTCCACGCTGAAATAAAGAAAGTTCAATCACCTTTTATACTGCTTTTCTTACTAATTTTGAATGTAAGGCAATCAATCCAAATTAGTCTTATAGGGTAATAAAATTCCACTACCACAAGTTTCTTCTCTCTAAACCTAACCAACCAGATACAAAAGGCAGCAGAAAACGATGTAAGCGGCAAGGAAATCAGCAGGCAGGTTTGTGTGTACATTATCCCACAACTGTCTATTTTATTTTGGTTTAAAATCTTGTTCACCTCAGTTAACTGTGGTTTCCTTAGGAGCTGAGGAGATTTAAGCTATTAAGTCTCTCTTGGTGAGGGATGGCCAATCTTCTTGCTGCCTGCTGCCATGTTTGCTAAATAAAATGTTGTATCTTTTTATCATTAATACTAGATCAACTCTCTGCCAGTGTCAAATTCCGTATACAGGCACCAATAATATCCATCCTGGTTACAGCCAGAGGGATTACTCTGATGGGTGGAATACATCTCTTCATGGACAATGGTATTAACTAAATGGAGAAGTTCATCTTTTTAAGTGTCTAAAGTTAACCAGTGGAGTACCTCCCTCAGAAATGAATAAACCCCCTAAAAATAACAAGTGTGTTCACTTAATGTCAATTGTACCCTTGGCTGTTGAACAAAAGCAATTGCTCAAACTAAGCATGAGTGCTTTTTCCCCTTTTGTAAGGAATCATGAGCTTCGCCTCACAAATACTCAAGGCACCACTGCTTACATTAGGCAGGCAGCACAATGCTATTACTCACTTCTGCATGGTGATGGCTGAAACTCAACATGCAAACATGACACTGAACAAACATCAGTGCTTGCCTCTGTCAATGAAAAAGTCAATCATGCTGACACATGGCTCTGAAATTCACTTTCCATTGCACTAATTATCGGCACATTCCAAGGGGTAAAAATCACAGACCCACTGAGCCGCGAGCAGTTCACTGGCACTTTGCAATGTGCACTCCTTGTGAGTTCCCACCTGAGCAACACACTGCACCACCAATTCACCACCGGGCTCCCGGGACAGCCGCAGGCTGGGTGGAGGGGCACCTTCGCCCCGGCTCAGTCTGGCACTTGCTGTGTGATGCTCTGAACGCTCCAAAAGCGCTTCCCTTATCTGTGAAGCAACTTCCAGAGAAGGAGAAAGGTGCTGCCAGCAAAACTCACTGCCCACAGTGTCCCTCCTCTGCAAAGGTCTCTGCTGCTCTACCGACCACCAAGATACCCAACACAGGGAACGATCGTGCCTTTACTTGAACAGGGAAGAAACTTCTTTCTCACCTCCACTTCTTCATACACGGCCAGTGGCTCATGACGCCCTCCAGGACCACGGGCCGCTCGGGAATGAGGTAGTTGTCTCTGAAGTGCTCCAGCGAAGGGCAGTGAAGGTGAGGAATCGCCTCCTCCGGCTGCACCGCGGGGGGCGGCGGGGGCCGCTCCGGCCGGACCCTCTGGAATGGACGTTCCCCCTCAACACCCGGCAGAGACCCCCGGGGAGGCTGGAGGCCGGGAAGGAGAGGGGGTTCGCGGGCGGTACCTCTGCGCGGGGCCTGTCCCGCGGCGCGGTCCCGCGGGGCAGGCGCGGCTGCAGCGCCCGCACCAGGCGCGCCAGGACGTTGTCCAGGACGGCGGCGCCGAGCAGCAGCCCCAAGTCGCAGAGGCGCACGGCGGCCCGCGGGCGGCCCGCGGCCACCTCGGCCAGCGCCCCGAAGAGGCAGCCGTAGGCGTAGACCTGCCGCCAGCCCTTGCCGACCTCCCTCCACGGCACCGCGTTCAGCTTCTCCCAGGAATAGTCGCGCAGGACGTCGCTGAAGCGTGCCAGCGCCGCCGCTGCCGCTGCCTCGGGCGGGCCCGGCGGGCTGTAGAGCAAGGCGCGGGCGCGCCGCAGCAGCGGCAGGACGCAGCCTTCCACCTCCCCGCTCAGCGCCAAGGTCAGCCCCTCCTCGGCGCGGGGCAGCAGCGCCCGCACCTCGGCCCACAGCGCGGAGCCTCCACCCGCGCCCTCCGCGCCGCCCGCCGCCGCCATGGCCGCGCCTGCGCTGACGCCGCGAGGCGGCGCTGCCGGGCCGGGCCGGGCGCGGGAACAGCGTTGCCCTCACGGGGCCGGGCTGGGCCGGGCTGGGTGGCGCGGCGGTCCGAGCTCCCCGCCCTGCTGGGCCGGCGTCGTGTTCTCTCTCGTACCGCCAAAGCTCAGTCTCGGCAGTGTCGCTCGCGCCCTTGACCAGCGAGCCCGCTGGAATTTAGTGACTGGGATCGACGTCGCCGTTCGCAGTAAAGGGGAGCGCACAGACTCGGGGAAGGTCCCGTTCTCTGGTGAGGAGGTGGCCGCCCGCGCTCTGGAAGCAGGGGGTGAGTGCTGGAGGACGGGGAGATGCGCTGTTCCCTGCTGGCCTTTTGTGCTGGAAAGAAACGTCCCCGCTCGGGACCCCGCGTGTGCTCGAGGGGCCCGAGCGGAGCCCAGCGCGGCCCAGAGCCCGTGTCCTCTCGCTGGCTCAGCTGCTCGGTGTTAATGTGCTCTTAAGACGTGCTTTCTGCATGGAGTATGCACCTCAGTCCTCTAACGCACTGGGCACGGCATCATTCAGCCACAGCTTGCTTTGGTAATGTGCCCTGACGTGTTCTTAGGACTTAATACTTGACTGCAAAACCAAAAAGTATTTTACTTAAAATTCAGCAACTGAGGAATATCTTAACATGGTGAACCAAAGTCTAAATCATCATAACAACAAATGAGGAATTTGTAGCTCATGAAAAAGTGTTACTTGGCCAGGCTTGAAATCTTCAGACCTGATGCAAAATCCTACCTTTACAGAGAAAGTTAAAATCATCACTTTTTTTTACTGAGACTCTCACTCTTCTTTGTCCATTCTTAGTCACTAGTGCTTTCAAAAAAAAAAAAAAATTAAAAATGGTGTGAGTCCTCCTGCTGCTGCTGCTAGCGGCTCTCCCCAGCTGTTCCCTCGGAAGGATCACTTCTGCTCTCACACTTCAGACTTGTGCATTGCTTATCATGCTGGCCCATCTATTCCCTGTCTTCTGACTGCCTTTCTCTTGGCACCATAAATTCCTCCTGTGACAGTGTGATTTTATCACCTTCATTCAGAATTTTCTCCTCCTTGACTACTAAATGTTAATATATGCTACTGCAGGAGAAAGTATGTAACTGGCAAGGAGAATTTGTTAGACCCTGTTTTCAGTATTTGTAACTTATGATGCTAGCAAGTGTTCTAGTCTTGTGCTTATGGACTGTCCAGTTTTTATTGCAATTTATATTAACTTTTATTTGTATTTAAGTTGGTTGATACAATTCTCATCAAATAATAATTTTCCCAGTTTAAATGTTAGTTATATTTTCACAACTTGTGCTTTGAAGATTAGGATTTTCTTTCTGGTATTTAAAATAACACCAAGTTCTGAACATGTAATTTCAACTACAGTGGTGAGGCATTGAGGCCATGATGAGCTTTATCAGTTTTACTGTAGATGAAGAACCAAATGGGAGTAGATTTTAGGTTATGGGTATTCAGGGAGGCTTAGTGTTTCTCTTCGAGCATACACTGGAAGACAATTATTTCTAGTCAGTCAGATTTTGGTACAATGGTCTGAATGTTGACACAGCATCAATAGTCTTGAAAGGGCTGTATATCTACTGAGCTAATGAAGACTGGTCTTAAAGTGTGTATTGAGTCTTGTATTGTGTTTGGCCTTTAGGAGGAAAATCCTCTAAAAGCTCATAAAGTTGCATTGTAGCAACTTGGTTGAAATTATTGGAAAAAAACCCAACAGATTTGCAAATGCTGAATTGGGAAGTTTTACTCTCAGAGCAGTTAACCTTGCAGTAATATGTGCTAGTTTTGAAATACCTGTAAACTACTGCAGAGATTTTGTGTCAGCTGTCTGACCAACAAAGTGGACGATTTCAGTGCTAGACATTTCCATTTTAAGTCAACAAGAGAGAATTTAATTCCTGCTGCCAAGGAACAAAGATTATTGTCATCTCACTAACCTGCAGGAATTGACATAAAAGAGTTCTGTGGATTATGCCACCATCACTGAAGCTTGTGCTATTTTCATCAAAAGTAATTTTTTTTAAGATTGTGGAAGCCAAATTGCCTTACCTTGCAGAAAGATGTCCCTTTCAAAACACAGAAGAAAAGTTGGTACCAAGGTTTTCTCTGCTGCTTCCTGGGTTTTAGTCAGCAGAGCACTTTTCCTTCTCTCTTATATTCTGTTTATTTTTTTGAATATGCTCCAGGCAGCTCACTTTCTCCTAGCACTGACATACAGAAAGAAATTACCTGTTAAAAAAACCCCAAACAAACAGGCACACAATTAAGGGAGATAATAAAGTCTGATAAACCATCTGTATTTCTCTCTTCTGTTTACAGTCATAGATTCCAGGACCCACAGTTGATGTTACCTTGTTGATGTTACCTTGTCTGCCAGTGGTGGAAAAGTGATTAGTTTTACCAGATATTTTTAAAAAAATGCTCAGTGTCTTACCTTGCCTTTGTCTTCATTGGAAAGAATAGGTGTTTGGCCTGTTCAGAATGTAATTTCTTATTTGTAGCAATATTCTCCTTTATAGCACTCTTTCCTCATTTACTAATTGGAATGAATGAACAAAGTCCTTTGATTGGTTTTGGATTTTATTAAAATGACATCAAGACGCATGCTCAGTGATTCACCACTTGAGTCCAAAGAAGAACGTTTTTACTAGGTGGATCGGTTTTTAAAATGACAGCATCTGCTTGCTCTTACACATTTATTTATGATTCTTCCCCAGGCGAGTATAGCAGGAGTCTGGTGAGTAATAACCAGCTGCTGGAATTAGCAAATAGGGAAAGCAGTTATTTGATCTGTGAAGGAATGTGAGAGCTGAGGCCAGAAGTAATAAAAACTAAGCAGATGCCCCAAATATATAAACCCAAGTCAGGATGTGTAAATTGCTTGTGCTGCTTATGGGCAAAATTGTGTCAGATGGGTTGCCTTGTCTGGAGTTTTTATTGAAGATGAAACTGTCTCCAGTGCCACATCACGTCCAGCAATCCTGAGCCCCCCGGCTCTGGTTCCAGCGTCTCTGCTTGCTCGTTGAGTGTCAGCAGTGCACAGGCACAGCAGCTCTCTCGGGGCTTCTTCAGTGGCCTCTCTGATAGATTGTCTCACGTCCCAGGTGTGCTGTGACCAGGTCCTCCCTGCTACCCTTATAAGGTCTGTACTTACAGAGTCATTTCTTGGACACTCACTGCAGGATCACAGCAGTAACACCGAAGGTATTCTTTCTCCTCAGGGCTTCAGGATGCTGCTCAGCTCTTCAGGAATGCCATGTCCCTTTTGGCAGCCTGGCACTTTGGAATTAACACGCTCCCTAAAGGGAGGATGCCAAGAAGATGGAGTCAGGCTCTTCTCAGTGGTGCCCAACAATAGGACAAGAGGCAGTGGGCACAAACTGATGCACAGGAAGTCCCACCTGAACATTAGGAAGAACTTCTTTCCTCCGCAGTGACCATGCACTGAACAGGCTGCACAGAGAGGGTGTGGAGTGTCCCTCACTAGAGATATTCCAGAACTGTTGGGACACAGTCCCATGCCACGTGCTCTAGGATGACCTTGCTTGAGCAGGAAGGTTGGACCAGAGGATCCACTTGTGGTCCCTTCCAACCTGAACCATTCTGTGATTCTGGAACAGGGGAGGTGGTCTGTTTCCTTGTTTCCTGGGCTTTCTGAATGCCTGGGTGTATGCCTTCACTGGTCATCACAGCAGCAGAGAAGTGCCTGTCAGTGTTGGCAGTGGCCACGGGCAGGGATGGAGGGGGGATAGGCTGGTGCTGCTGCTGCCCTGCCACCTGTGCCTTAGCCTGTTTCTGCTTCCAGGAGTGGTTGGCTGGTACGTTCCATGAGCAATATACTCATTTAATATCTCCCCTATGCCCCACCACCCCACCCTGCAAAAAAAAGCTAAAAAAGTGAAAATGGGAGCTAACATGCCCTCTGGCCCTTAAATGGGAATATAAATTGACTACTGCTATGAAAGCGATGGCTGGCTCTGATTTTCCTTTAGAGGGGATGAATGGTTTTCTCCCTTCTGCAAGAACAGAAGTGCAAACACATAAGACTTTAAAGACTTTGGATGTCTTTCCTGGCTGCTTTTTCTGCTCCTCTGAACAGGAGATGAATGAATCTGATTAATAATACGTACAGAATTAATTGTTATACATAATTTTCCTCACATAAGCAACATCTTCCTGCTTGAGAGTGACACAGCCATGCATTTTGATGGTATCTTGGAGCTGAGTGTAATTGTGCAGTGACAGTGTAATGACGGATATGTCTTTAACAACCTGTTCCCTGCATTGTGTTTTTATCACTGCCATCTGCTCGGCCAAAAGTGGCAGCTGCCAGGTCTCACAGATAACGCTGTCATGTACTTTAATGTAGAACAACATATTGTTGTAATTTCTCTGATGTTACTAGATGAAATAACTTTAAGTGAGATAAGGTGACATTTTGCATGGCACTTTGGAATTCTTCTCATTGCAGTGGGTATAGGACACACAGTGTTCTTTCCGGAGCAAGCTACATCAGCACATCCAGTTCTACTTTCAGAAATCACTGGAAAATGCCTATTTTACAAACACATTATGTAACATCCATCTGTGACATATGTGTCAGTGCTGAGGTGCAACTGAGACAGTCAGTATTGCTTACAAATGTAGCCTTAGTTACCTTTGTGGGATGGAAATTGTGTAAGACTATTTTAAAAATAGTTTTTTCCTTTTTCTTTTCTTTTATCAACTTGAATCTCCTTCATATTTGCATATTTGCAGATTTCCTTTATATTTGCAATCGTTCAGACAGCTCCTTCAACATTAAAGGAAACACAAAATCTTTACAACTCTCATGAATGAGTTGAATAACTGGCAAAGGTATTGGCAAAAGCATGTTTAATATAAAAATGAAAGCACAACAAAGTTTGGCAAGGTTAACTCTACTACTTTATTAAAGCACACAGAGAAAAAGCAAACTAAAATCTAAAATCAATCAGTCTAAAACCATCATCAACTCAAAAATTATCTATGTGGAGGCTGGAGCAGGGGGAGGGGGTGAAGGGTAAGGGTAGGAAAGGATAAGGATAAAAAGGAATAAGGAAGACCCTCCTGGTGAGTCACAAGTTCCTTGCTATACTGAGCCTGGACTTGACAAACAGTTTAGGCCTAAAGTTTTAACAGCACTTAAACTTAACAACACTTAATTGATAGCTTAAGTTAAACAATTTAACAAAAGATTCATATAGAATTTACTATAGCACAGCAGTAACTCACAGGCCTAATTTACATACAAATCTAAAG